CAAGACTATATGTCCACCATGATATTGGTCTGTCGAAATTAAAAAGGGATGCAGTTTTGGGTGGTAAGTTATATATATTATACAATGTTCTTTTTGTCACACGAACACGCGAGAGAACCTACCTTTCATGTCCCGCGGGTGAAAATAATTGGGCTTCTCTCATTTCTAAAAGCGTTGGAGCAGGGAAGAGTTCGCTGCGTTGTGTATATAAATAAATGGTGACGGATTTCACATGTATTCTAACCATTTTACTTAATTTTATCGACACGCGACCTTCGTATGTATTTTACAATGTTTTTCTTCACCGTCAAGCTTGTAATAAATCAGTATTTAAAATTGCAATGATCTACGTGCAGACAGAAAGTGCAGTTGTGTTATTCACAACGAAATTCAAAGAGAGCTCCTAGACTCATAATCGAACCACTCAGACATTTCTAATGACCAAATAACTGTATTACGTTTGTACGCTAGTTCATAATATGGCAATAGACTCCAAATACCTAACATTATTTCAAATTTTAACAATAAAATTGTCTAAAGCAAAATAAAATCCGAGGTAAGAGAAATGTCACATTTGATAAAATATTAACACACAAGTAGTGATTGTGAGTTGAAGTTAATTAATGATTTTCTTGTACAGATTTCATCAGACTCATATGTCTACCTACACAGGACTTTAGAAAAGATTTCAAAGGCGAGGTAAACTTTACTGTTGCGGGTTGGGGGAGCGATGGCAAAAAGTTTAGCGATGTAAAGAAGTACGTGAAAGTGCCATATGTTCCAACAAAGGAATGCCGCGCGTCTTTTACATTTAACAGCATAATAGAGTCTCAAATCTGCGCCGGTGGACGAGAAAACGAAGACTCCTGTTCAGGTGACTCCGGAGGACCCTTAATGTACGAGCACGGCGATACGTACATAGCGATAGGTATCGTCAGTTACGGCTTGGGACGATGCGGCACAGATAACACTCCCGCTATATATACCTATGTCTACTCGTATTTAGATTGGCTAAAAGATAACATGGTGTGAGAATATTGAGACTATTGATATGGGTGATTGTTCTAAATAATAAAGTAAAACTTGACTGGCCCATATTTGTACTCAATAGAAAATTATTATTGATCACATACAAATATTAAGGCAAGGAGAAGTTAAGACGGTAAAATTTGCGAGATAGAGCTTAAAACTGATGATTTTGGAAGTTGTAAAATACAATCAATTTAATGTTGTATTAAATTGTTTATTAAATTTAATGATCTCACTGTTACAATAATATTAAAAATACTGTTACCCTTACCGTTACCGTTACAGCATATTAAAGTCCACAGCTGAACATAGGCCTCCCCGTAGATTGCCTCATAGAGAGGATATTTGCCATAGTTTGCACGCTTCGTGAGCGGGTTTTTTGGCGTTATTAGGAAGACGCTGTTGCCCATCTCTTGATTTGTTTCCCGTTGTGGCCTCTTACGACACCTATGGGATTATATGGGGTAGTGGTTATTCTTACACCGCATCGCCACTAATATAACAATATTATAATATTTAATTTTTTTTCGTTATTAACCATAGTTCTATTTATTAAAAAGTATAATATTAGTAGCGGAAACTGAATTCAAAGTGTATACAGAAATAAAATTTAAACGTAGCTGTGTGTATTTATTTAGCAGTCTGTCGACTATACAGCCACCTAAAGACGACTAAATAGACTAAATGGCAGAAAAATCTCCTGTTTTTATTATAGGAAAGGGTGACAAACGAGTACATAGTCCACCTGATGGAAAAAGGTTGCTGTGGCCCATAGACACCTACATCTATCCTCGATTACGAATCAAAATACAGAATGCGTTGTCATCCGTGTGGACTAAGATAGAATGCCCCGTTTCCAGCAAAAAAAGGGTCTCCGGTTCTCTACACTCACCGAACACATACGAAACATAGCAGTGTTAATTTGCTAAGTTTGTATTCTGTAAGAGCGTGGTTCTTCCGCGGTAAAGCTGAACAATTCGTGCTACAACTATACTACTAATATAGCTGCAGCATGTCTCTACCACGTAAATAAACATTGTATATCATTAAACATTTTAAGCCATGTTCAAATCGCAATAATTTTGTGAATGTAAAGCAAGACGACGACCTGGTAAGACATGCAGGAAGTCAATGTATGTACGTAAAGCAAGATCAGCGTACATTGATATTTCAAGAAAAATAAAAAATAAACCGGCCAAGTGCGGGTCGGACTCGCGCACCGAGGGTTCCGAACAAATCCGTAGGTATATAAGTTTAAAATTATTAAAAATATTTTTATTATATGATGTGACTAAAAATGTTTGCTTTTCGCAATTTTTCCTTTATCTGTACTATAAAACGTTGCTTCGTACCAAATTTCAAGATTCTGAGTTCACGGGAAGTACCCTGTAGGTTTTAATTCCCTTGCGAATGTCGAAAATTTGCGGCATAAACGGCTGTATCTTTTGATTGAGTAGGCTTAGAAGTTTGATTTTTTCACAGCTCCAAGGGACAGTAGACTTGAATATTTGTTATGAATGTCAGCTTGATACCACCACGCGTTCCTGAGAAAAAGGGTCTTGGCAGACAGACAGACAGACAGACAGTCAGACAGACAGACGGACAACAAAGTGATCCTATAAGGGTTCCGTTTTTTCCTTTTGAGGTACGGAACCCTAAAAACATGCTTGAGTGTCGTAGAACTGTTGGAACGAAGTTCATTTCGTAGTATATTATTATTGATAAACGTATTATATAAAATAATCGAAGTAGGTACCATATCCTCACTTGTCACAACTAGGACTGTCGACGAAAATCTGCCTTTCCGGCTCGGCCCGCCTTGGACTCGTATAAAGGAAGTTGGACGTCTGGCTTCATACATCAATTGCAACAATTCAACGAAGTTAATTGACCAGTTTATTTAAAAGAACCGATTTCTTAAATGGTTTCAATACAACAACCGAATTGTGTTAGGAACAAAAATATGTAAATATTCATGTCCGTTTTTAATTCCCTCTGTCGCCTCCTACAACACCCACGAAATGATTAGGGTAGTGGATTTCCTTACGCCGCCTCTACACGTCAAAGCTCCGAGTAAGTGATATATACAACAATTCTCTATTATAATAAAAATAGTAATATAAATATAATATAAATAAAATATAGTTTAAATGAAGATATGCGTACGGTATATACACGTTTAAAAAATAAATGTGTTCTTTCTGCTTTTTAAAAAAAATACATTACCTCGACACTAGAATGTTCTAAGAGTCTAGAGAATCGTGGGGGCAGTTTACATATATACATTGCACAAGACAAATATCCAGACCCGAAATAATTGTTTGTACGTTATACAAATGCTTGTTCCGTGCGGGATTCGAACCTGCGGCCTCCAGCGCTGCAACTCATTGGTGGATTATCCAGTTTGGCTAAAATTAAAATCGATCACTCTTACAATTACAACTGTGAACGGAAAGAAACGTTATTTCTAAAACACAATTTGTATGCGTTATTAATATCGAAAACAGGAAAACAACACAATAATCACACTATCGGACACTGTATACATGTCCTTACACTGATAGTCTCTAATAATAACTTGCGACATAAATCTTTACTTCACCATCATCATCTTCTTGGTCGTGTTCTTCAAAACTGAAGGTTGTGTCCGTAGTTTAGTGCCTTCGTAGCGCTGTTCACTATAGCCCTACATTCTGTCCGGTCCTCGGCTTTTCGCATTGCAGTCGTAAGTGAGAGGCCAGTGAGTGATTTGGTCTTGATTTGTCTTTTGCCCCCCACCTTGCCTACGACTATAAGTCTATCCAAGTTATTGGGCAGGCGTCGGGCAATGTGACCAAAGTAACTCAGAATACTCTGGTAACGTGTTACCAGAGTATTCTGAGTTAATGAGTTACATCATCATCATAATCGTAACAAAATTTCTTAATAGTTGTCCTATATTGAACTAAGATAGAATGACTTCCAAGCTGTAATCATGCTGCCTCTATCACCATTTGAAATTAGAATTAGAAGAAATTAGATTTAAGCGAAGGATCTACGCTGCAGATATATTATGGTTGTAGCACAAATGGGTGGCTCGACCGAGGAACAACCACGCTCTCAAAGAATCTCAACGTGAAGTAGCAGATAAATTTAACAGTGGTAGAGCCACGCGGCAGCTTTTGCTGTCGCACGGATGGGCCGGCTCGAACCGGGGTGGTACCACGACCTCACAGAATACCAGCGTGAAGTAGAGGTTTACCTCTGCGTTTCGCTTGGTGAGTGCAGGTGGCCGGAGGCCCTTTTTACTGGAAATGAGGCATTCCATCTTAGTCCTCACGGGTGACAACGCATCTGCGTTTTGATTCGCAGGCGAGGATAGATGTAGATGTCTATGGGCCGCAGCAACCACTTACCATCAGGTGGACTGTGTGCTCGTTTGTCACCCTTATCCTATAAAAAAAAAAATACTGCTGTGTTTGTGAGAGTAGAGAACCGCAGACCGTTTTTATATATAAATGGCGATCCGCCCCGGCTTCCCAGAGATATACCGGGCAAATATAACAAATGTGAATCTAAACTATCTGGAGACCAAAGACGTATTAAAAAAAAAAACATCTTAGCTAGAGACCCATTCAACACACAATTTTTTTATCCAAATCGTTGGAGCTGTTTTTGAATTCTAGCGAGACTAACGGACAGCAACTGATATTTATATATATATAGATAGATATATTTGTACACATAATATGTACCATAATGACATATTTGTACACATACAGAAATTACAATAAAATAATCACGTGCCTAAGAAAAATGTGGTCACACTTACATATAATATACATAAACAATTAATGTTTTATTTTATTTTATTTTATTTGACACACGCTATATGCCTAAAAGGAGTACAAAATTGTTCCATCGCGTATTATTATTAAGATAAGCATTATTTACTTTATTTTTTCCTCCAACGCAACGAAAACAAGATCATTAGTGTACCTCCGCTCGGCATCTTGACTGGACCTGTTCGTTTTTTTAGTAATCCGTTTTTATTGTTGAAGAGAATAAAAGGATAACTTATAACATGACAGTACTAAATTTGCGTCTTAAAGAGACGTTGGTACTCGTAGTTGTGATAATATCAATCGGTTCGTCATATGGCCGTGAGTATTTAAAAAGTTTTTCTATATATTTTTAATGTTGTAGAGACATGCTGCAGTTATGTTATGGTTGTAGCACGAAAGAGTCGGTTCGATTCGAACCGGGGAATACCAGTGTGAAATAGCAGCTTAATGCTGCTGCATTTCGTATGCTCAGTTTAGAAATCCCGGAGATCCTTTTTACTAGAAACGAGTCATTCCATCTTAGTCATCAGGGGTGACAACGCATATGCATTTTAATTTTTAATCAGACGAATTCAACGGCACCTACTTACCAACAGGTGGAATGTGCTCGTTTATTACACTTAAAATAAAAAAATAAAAAAGTTCCAAGCGCGACATCTGATGGTGACTACTGTAACAAAATTCATACAATGAAATTGACAGTTCTGTAGAGTACTGGCTAAGAGGGTTTCGAATCCCGTACGGACCAAGTGTTTGTATAGCCTACAAATATTTTTCGGAATCTAAAATATTTTTATGTATGTATGTAAACAGCCTCTACTATACAGAAAGAAAATTTTATTGTCAAAGTAACCTAAAAAAAACAGGCCAAGATTAATAAATGTAATTGTATATTATACTGCCTAGTTTGTATGAAATAAGAAATGAAAATAAGAATGACATAAATTGTTGTGAAACGAAATTAATAAAATCTAACATTAAATAATATAACAAATAAACCTGAAGCAGCGTTTCTTTTTCACATATCTTTTCTTTTTCTTTTTTTTTTTTAAAAACATTACCCCCACATCAGGATTTTCTCCTGCATCGTGGAGGCAGTTTACAAACATATATTGCACAAGGACAAACATCCAGACCCGGAACAATTATTTGTAAGCCATACAAATACTTGTTCCATGCGGGATTCGAACCCGCGGCCCCCAAGCGTTGCAACTCATTGCTAAGCCACTACGCCACGGAGCCGTCAAATGAAATCAAAGTCAAAGGCCGTGAATAATTCTTTTTTTTTGGTCACTTGACTTTAAGGTTCGACAGCTTAATTAAACTCAGACTTTTCTTTAGAACTAAAGTGATTAACGAACTTACAGTTCACCTGATGTTATATTAAGCGGCTACTGCAGCTAATTGACACCTGCAACTTACTTTAAACAAAGAAAAGATGCAAAGAGTTAGATATCATTCGGACCAGAACAGTGGTGCTCTTTATATTGCTATAAGCAAGAAGGTAGAACTAACTCAGACGTACTCTTAGAAAAAAAAAGTCTTACCACTAATTTCAGACAGAGTTTAGATTAATAAAATATGATCGTATCATATTGCAGACCCAAAATGTAGGATGCCGAATGGCTACTCTGGAGAGTGTAGGTATTTAGACAATTGCAAGCCTCTGCTGGATGTAAACGATAAGAAAATTAAAACAGAAGAGGAGCTCCTGTACCTTCGGGAATCTTCTTGTGGGACCTCCAGCAATTTTAAGTATAAGGTCAGCAATCGATATATTTTCTTTTTCATTACAATAATAGTGAGTCTGCGTGCAGTCTACTTCACCTGAGGATGCCTCGTGTAGAGGCGAAACACGTGGCGTATTATCGACGGTGGTGTGTCTTTCCTAGTGTAGTGGTGTTGCGAGTAGTTTTGCTGGGATTAGTTGTGACGGGGATTGTGCACACAATTGAGAGAGGGCGGGAGGTGCTCTTCAAACTAGGTAAGGCACATAATTTTATTTTATTACGCGGATCTTATACCCAAATACTCAAACGATACTCAAATTTAAGATGCCGTTAAGTCTGTGCCGTCTCTATCACTTAATTTTTTTTTTAATTCAATATAGATCAAATGTGTAATTCTTATTGAAAGTCATTTTTTACTTTACCACTGGTTCAAAAAACCCTCAGTCCTGGGAAGAACTAACAAGAAACCCAGCAGGACATTTTTTAAAGTAAATTTTACATTAACGGTTGTACAAACTATTTACAAAATTTATTTTAGAAACTGCTTGGAAGCGACCACCTCATTCCCAGGGGTTTATTATCAACCATGTATTCATTTTTATTATAATAACCCTTTTTATACAGTTTCAGCAAAACATTTAAACATAGAGAGGGTCTGTACACTTTCCGGGACCTTGTTGTAATAGCGTATACATTGCCCCAAAAATGAATTACTGACTCTGTGGAGTCGAGAAATTGGTATCACTAGCTTGTGTTTGTTCCTAGTGTTCACAGAATGTATATCACTTTTTTACTAAAACTAACTTTGTTTTTGTGAACATACATTAAATTTTCGTAAATATACTCAGAGGTCAAAGTTAATACATTTATTTCTTTAAATTTATCTCTAAGAGACTCTCTTGGTTTTAGATTGTAAGTAGCTCTATTGGCCCTCTTCTGTAAAACAAAAAGAGTTTCTAAATCAGCCGCATTTTCCCATAGCAAAATCCCATAAGATATTATGCTATGGAAATAACTGAAATAAACTAATATAGCTGTCTCGACACTAGTGAGACCTCTAATCTTTTTTACAGCATAGGCTGCAGAACTTATATGGGGGCCCCACTGAAGCTTTGCGCCGAGAGTGATGCCAAGAAAAACAGTGTATTCAACAGGCCTCAATTCTTCTTCCATTCAAAACACATTGGTATTCAGATTTTTAACATTCGATGTTGTAAATTTAATACATTTAGTTTTATTTCCGTTTAAATGTAGATTATTAACGATAAACCAATGCACTAATTTTGATATAGCGTTATTCACTTCGTCACATTTAAATGATTGACGTTCAAGTTTAAAAATCAAGGAAGGATCATCAGCAAATAATACTATATCATAATTACCCCTACAGGAGAAGGTAAGTCATTAATATAAACTAAAAATAGGTATGGGCCAAAAATCGAGCCCTGAGGGACACCCATCTTTACGGACAACCAGGTAGAACTTTTACCATTGATAATAACTTTCTGCATTCTATTACCTAAATATGACATAAGAAGTTGAAGCGCTGTGTTATTGAAACCATAATATTGTAGCTTCCTGATTAATGTCTCATGGTGAACACAGTCGAAGGCCTTGGAAAGGTCACAAAACACACCTCCAAAAAGCATCCTCCGAATTCTCCCATGCACAAAAAATATGTTTTGTAAGTTCGACTCCCGCGTCGGTAGTCGAGCGACCCCTTGTAAAACCAAATTGATTTTTAAAAAGCAACTAGCTGACCCGGCGAACTTCGTACCGCCTAACAGTCGATTCTTAAATTTTCTTTGATAGTTATTCTGCTCTTCGGGACACCGTCACTCAATTGTCTTGCCTTCCCTAACTAACACTTAAACTTTATGGTATGATATTAAAGTTCAAATTTACTTTTAAGTATTATTATGAATCTTTTGGATGGGAATATAGAAAAGTGTTGCTTTTAGACTTTATCAGGCAATTTTATAAATATTTTCTCTCCGTAAGAACCATCTTCGTACTTCAAGGAATATTATAAAAAAAGAATTAGCGAAATCGGTACAGCTGCTCTCGAGATTTGCGCTTAGCAACACATTCAGCGATTCATTTTTATATTATAAGATTTATTTAATATTAAAAAAACTTAATATCTGTTCTAAATAATTTATCAAAAATTTTACTTAATATTGGTAGTACAAAAATTGGTTAAAATTGGCGGGGTCTAATGTACTACCAGATTTAAATAAAGATATGACTACAATATTTCGTTAAATCAGGAAACACCAGATTCGACGCTTTTAAATTGTAGCTAGATAAGATATAGTATCTATTATATATGCAATAAATTTAACGGAAAGCCCCAATAAGTCTGCCATTTTCTTAACATCAATATTTTTAAAATATTTAACGACGTCTTTTGGCAATACTCTATGGAATTTAAAAGTATTTGAACAAGACTTTACGTTTTGTTTAAGCACAGTAGGAGAAGAATTTAATGATTTTGTTGCCAAAAAAGGAACATCAGTAAAATCTTCTCAAAAGCCATAGCAACTTCTTGACCAGATTGAGTTAAATTATTGTTAATATTCAATTGAAAATCCGAGTTCCGTGGTTTGACCTTGCCCGTTTCAGGATTAATTATACTCGATATGATTTTAATTTTATCTGATACAGTTTTTGTTGCTTAAATTTAAAACCTTAGCTGTGGAGCATCATTCATCATTACAGCCTTTCATAAGTCCACTGCTGAACATAGGCCTCCCCAAGGAATGTCACAAAGAACGGTCCTGAGCCACCTGCATCCATCGGCTTTCTGCATGTCTTACCAGGTCGTCACTCCATCTAGTGAGGGGTCGCCCTACAATTCGCCTACCGGTACGAGGCTGCCACTCAAGAACCTTTGTTCCCCATCGGTTGTCGGTTCTTCGAGCTATATGGCCGGCCCACTGCCACTTCAGCTTATTAATCCGTTGGGCTATGTCGGTCACTCTGGTTCTACTGCGGATATCCTCATTTCTAAGTTTATCACGCAGAGAAACTCCGAGCATAGCCCTCTAGATAGCTCGCTGAGCGACCTTGAGCTTCCTCATACGGCCAGCAGTGAAGGACCACGTCTCAGATCCGTACGTCATCACTGGCAACACGCGCTGGTTGTATAATTTCGTTTTAAGGTTTTGAGGAATGTCTGACGAGAAGATGTGTCGCAGTTTCCCGAACGCTGCCCAGCCGAGTTGAATCCGTCGATTGACCTCTCGGTCGAAGTTGGACTTACCTATTCGGACTAATTTTCCCAAGTCAACATACTCGTCAACAATTTCGAGCTTAGTGCTCCCAACAACTACCGGCATAGGTGTGACATGGACATTGAACATGATCTTTGTTTTGCCCATGTTTATCTTAAGACCTATTCGTTGGGAGACACTATTGAGGTCATTGAGCATGGTGCTTAGATCCTCCAGCGATTCTGCCATAAGGACTGTATCGTCGGTAAATCGAAGTTGAGTGATGTACTCGCTATTGATGTTAATACCGTATCCTTTCCGGTCCAGAAGCTTGAAAACGTCTTCCAATGCAGCGGTGAAGAGTTTCGGGGATATAACGTCACCCTGTCTTACACCTCTCTGCAATTGGATAGGTTTCGTACTCTGGTTCTGTACTCGGATAGCCATCGTAGCCCTACTGTACAAGCACTTCAACACTACGATATACCGACAGTCAACTTGGCACCGCTGAAGGGACAGCAGCACCACCCAAATTTCGACGGAATCAAAAGGCTTTCTCATGGTCCACATACGCCAGACATAGTGGCAAATTGTACTCTTCGGACTTCTGTACAATTTGCCGAAGGGTATGTATGTGGTCTATGGTGCTAAAGCCTTTTCGGAAACCGGCTTGTTCGGGGGGCTGGAAGTCGTCAAGTCTGCGCGCGAGACGATTCGTAATGACTCTCGAAAACAGCACGTATACGCGGCTCAGAAGGGAAATCGGTCTGTAGTTCTTCAAGAGAGCGTTGTCGCCTTTCTTGAAGAACAAGACCACCGCACTTCTGCTCCACGCCTCCGGTGTAATGCCACCATGGAGGACGGAATTAAAGAGCTTCTAAAGGACTTCAAGTACCGGTTTTCCACCCGCTTTCAGAAGCTCCGCTGTAATTCCATCTTCGCCTGGGGCCTTGCCGTTTTTAAGATGCTGGAAAGCCATTCTAATCTCGCTCAGACTGACGTCCGGGATATCTTCGGAATAGTGTCGGATAAGACTCGCTCTTGGATCGTTCCTCACACTTGCGTGTGGCTCCAACGATGACGTGTATAGCTGCCCATAGAACCTCTCAATCTCACTCAAAATCTCAGGTGCCCCGGAAACGATGCTGCCACACCCGGTCTACTGCTTTGATAGTTGGCTCTTTCTGGCAGACAGATCTCTGGCAAAGACTTTGGAGCCTTGGTTCCGCTCGATCGCTTCTTCAATACAAGCTGTATTGAAGTTGCGTAAGTCCCACCGCATGCATTTGGAGATCTGTCTGTTCAGTTGCCTGTATACTGTCAAATCTGTTGAAGAATGTAGCTTCATCTCCCGTCTAACAGCCATGAGATTAAGAGTGTGATCGGAGAGTTCTTGTGTTCTTCTGCGGCGGGTCTTGTAGAACTTAGCTCCGACCGCATGGACAGTGTCCACGAGCTTGTCATTCATATCGTCCACTTAATTGCAGTTTTCTAGGCACTGAAAACGGTAGCTGTGGAGCATCTTCTTTAAAATATTTTAGAATATGTTTTTACATAATCTCTAAATATATCTACTATTATATGATCTTTCATTATAAAGCTCGCCTACTTTTATAAATTCCTACTGTCGCCTATTCATTAAATGATTTGCGACCATTAAAAGAGAATGTTTTAGAAGTAAATATTCTAAGAAGTAAGTAATAGTCAAAGTGACTGTGACAACACGAGGCTTAACAACATCTTAAAATTGAGTAGCGTTTGAGTATTTGGCCATTAGCTAGTGAATTTTTGACATATACAATATAATGGATTTCCGCAAAGTAACGCCCGATTCTATTAATTAATCTTAACAATTTAGTGCTTCCTTGGCTCATTGTAGATTTTAGTAAATAATATTTTGAGTGATAGTCGAACTAACAGTTTATCTGATGGTAAGTCGCATATGCAGCGCAAAGGCAGAATCAACTTTAAGGAAAGGTTCTTAGGTTATGAATCAAAATGTATTTGTGTGGGCCAGGGCAGCCATGGCCCCGGGCGGCAGATTTTAGAGGGCGACATTTTGTAATGAATGTCTTGAAACGAAAGTCAATACTCCGCATTGATTACTCAAGGATGCCAGTATAAGTCTTAAAATATCTGAAATTAAGTGTAAATGAATACTTTTTATTAAATTATTACGAAGCATTGAAATTTCAACTGTCGCTGTAAACGCAAATTCACGCCTTAAAATTTCATAATACGCGAGCAAACCGAGTCTAATCGATACCGACCGACACAAATTAAACTGTTAATTATAATTGTAAGTTCTGTTTTACCACGTGCGCAGCTATGAAGGACATCGTTAGAAAACCTGCATGACTGAGAAATGAATATTAAGTTAAAGACATGTTAAGTCCGCTAACTTGCGTTAGGACCGGCGGACTCCTTCAGAGAACACCTTCAGATGTGATCCAGCAAAACCTGTACCCAACATTGAGACGTATTTAGGCTGTTGTTCAAGTACTATTAAATGTCGCACCGGAATTTCTTATTACATAAAAATATAACCTCGTCGTTTCTGTACTCGGTTAAAAATATTTTATGTACCTGCATAAACCAATAAAATCATACAAATTATGACTTACACAAAAAAGTTTTGCAGTAATCTTGCATAAACAAAATAATGTATTGCATATAGCTCATATCAGTTATAGTTAATTAGAAGTAAACATATCCGCACAGGAAAAACAGTAAAAAGGTCTGACTTTATGAATCACTCACAGACTCGATGTCGTAATAAAATAATATAAGCGAACAGTGCGAAATTCCCCAAGTCGACATGTAATCAACATAAGGTCCATATGAACAAGACATTATAATATATTATGGGCCGGACTGAAAATCAGTGCCACAGTATAAACATATAGTAGGAACAGTATGGAAACTACCTACAAATGCTCGAAACGGCACACTCACACAAACATGCGCAACGACGAGACTTCTAAGCGCTCGTCGCGGTGCTCTCAGTAGCGAGTGTCGTGTCAAGACTTTTTTAAAATGCCACGAATGTATTGCGTAGTATACGGCTGTTCGAACTCGGCTTCATCAAAACCGGAGCTAACATATTTTAAGTTTTCTGCTGATTTTGAAAGGTAAGAATGATTTTTTATTGTCATTGTTATAATCGTTATCGAATTACAAGTCCGTGTGATCGATCATAATGAATTCGTGAACTTATTTGTAAATCCAGAATGCGGCGGTATTGAGGCTATTTAAAGCTGATAGTGCCATAGTGGTAACAAAAAGTAAATCCAAGATGGCGGCTGCAATAGGTATAATTTTTTTCGTCCTGGGCGCAATTTTCATTGGTTTCGAGGGTGTTGAAGCTGATAGTGCTGTCGAAATGTAAATCCAAGATGGCGGCTGCAATAGGTATCATTTATTCGTCATGTGTATCATTTTCATGGTTTTCGGGGGTGTTGAAACCTCGTTGAAGTTGAGTGCTGGCAAAATGTAAATCCAAGATGGCGGCTGCAATAGGTATCAATTTTCTCGTTTTGAGTGCATCGATCACTAATTAAAAACATGTGTGTCTTTTATATTATGCTGTTTATTATAACTGGAATAAACGTGTTTTCTTTCTTTGTATTAAAACAACATTTTATGTTATGAAACTTTTTATAAGTACAATAAAATACGTGGTGGTTTTATACGTGGTCAAACAACGCTGCACCTATATTATGGTTGTTGCACGAATGGGTCGGCTCTACCGGGGAAGGAATACGCTCTCACAAAATACCAGCGTGAAATAGCAGCTTAATACTGCTGTGTTTCGTATGGTGAATATAGAGAACTGGAGACACGTTTAATTGGAAACGAGGCATTCCATCTTAGTCCTCAAGGGTTACAACGCATCTGCATTTTGATTCCTAATCCGAGAATACATGTAGATGTCTATGGGTCACAGCATGCACTTACCACCAGGTGGACTGTGTGATCTTTTGTCACCCTCATTATATAAAAAAAATTGGTGACTTTTTACTGGAAACAGTTACGGAATGTGTTTTTTGGAGTTTTCAACCGACTTCAAAAAAGAGGAGGTTCTCAACTGGCAAGAATATCTTCAATTTACAAAGGCATCTACACGGCATATGGGGGAATAATTCTGTACCACGTCAACCAATTTCGACGATTACCTTCCTTTTAGTTCTTTTAAAGTTGGCTTTTACTTTTTTTTTAATTTAATTACGGTAAGTGAATGAATGAATGTATTTGTTTTACCAACCACACGAGACTTTATGCCATCCATACTAAGATTAAAACTGCTGTCATGCCGTCTGAACTTTAAAGTTACAGCCTATATACGTCCCACTGCTGGGCACAGGTCTCCTCTCATTTCTGAGAGGGTTTTAGGGCAAGGAAGTGTCCGCCACGCTGCCCCAATGCGTGTTGGCGGTTTTCTCATGGCGGCTGTACACGCTGGTCTCGTCGCCTCGCGAGCCTCTCGTCGCGTAGAAGTTCGACACGAGAGCACACCATGTACACACTCGTTGTATCACTTGAAATCCGGATGCCCACTGCGATCGACGTAGAAGAAACTGTTGCTGTGTTTTGCCTTTGCTATTTTTTATTATAATTTTTTACATATTTCCAATAAATAGAAAATTAATAAGCCATGGTGCATGGTTTCTATTCACTGTAATAGAACCATGTAAGTTACTATATTGTATTTAACAATATTGTACCATTTTTTTTTGATAATTTTTATAATTATCAGAAAACGAACGAGTGTGTACAGGTGCGCTCTCGTTTTCATCGCGAGACTCACGAGACCCTTGGACTCGAGCGCAAAAAAACCGACACGCTTCCGAGAGCGAACGATGGCCGCGAGACGCGACGCGACGCGACGAGGGCACCATGTACACACTCGTACTCGGCCTGTCTCGTGGTGTCTCGACGAGCGTGTACAGCCGCCATCAGACATGCCGGTTTCCTGACGAGCACGTCAGTTTCTTATTAAACATATTTTGCCGGCGCGGATCGAACCCGGGTTACTCGCGTACTGTGAAATTTACAGCGAGCGCTAAGCCCATTGGCTACCACGGATCATTTGACTTTTGCCAGAAGGTATTTATATGACATTCACATGACGATATTTTTTTAATTTCAGGTCTGCTGCCCGCTGCAGTCGGAATGGTCAAAAGCGCTAGACCTCAAGCCGGTCCTATTTCCAGAAATAATCAAGTATATGTCCGAGCCAGGAGATAACGGTTCTGATAACAACTTGCATCTCGCGTCTAGTTTAAATTTGGAATCGGAAAAATGCGGCGTTCATTCGTTAACTCCTAACATGATTCACGGTAAGTTAAATATCCCTTATAATGGAATAATTGTACAGTTTGGTCATTATCACCACGATTACTTGATTGAGGAACTCTTCGCAACATAGACATTCATTCCCAGTACCGATGTGAATATCTTAAGAAAAGAGCCTACTCCTTTTTAAAAGACCGGCAACGCATCTGCAATTCCCCTGGTTCCCCCGGTGTTGCAGTTCTTCATGGGCGGCGGTAGTCACTTAACATCAGGTGAACAGCATGCTCGTTTGCCCCCTCTCCTATAAATAAAGAAAAATCTTAAATCTCCGAGATCTCATCGTGTAATCACTACTGCTATAAGTAGTGGCACGAAAGTCTAGCGGTGACAGTTATTGTGCATAAGTCGAAAATAAGGTATGCCTTTTAGGCAGTTGTTTTGGCTCACCGCTCACTTAACGGTCAGCCACCGTAGAGTCTACATCACCTGACGATGCCTCGTGTAGAGGCGAAACACGTTTCGTATTATCGTCAGTGGTGTGTCTTTCCTAGTGTAGTGGTGCTGGGATTGGTGGTAATGGGGATAGTGCACGCAATTGAGGGAGGACGGGAGGAGCTCTTCATACTAGGTAAGACACATCATTTTATTTTATAGAGCGGATGTTTGCGAAGTAACTTTTTAAAAGCTTTAATATAATGGATTTCCGCAAAGTAACGCCTGATTCTATTAATTATAACAATGGTTCATAGAAGAAAACGTTTATGCCGTTTTGAAATAGAGCCAAACTTTAATGTAAGTTTAATTAGTAAATTTTGTGCACAATTTTGTTTATATGTTTTTTTAGAAATTTGTCATAAATGCCAGAAGAATAATATAAAAAATAAATAAAAAACTCGTTAACTACTTTAAATTCAACCGAAAACTCTAGGCAACACGATGCAGCGATAAATATTTATCACATAGTCCAATCTCAATTATTCCGATTTTTTTGTAGGAAAGGGGTACCTCATAGTTCAGAGGCAGTCCTATATCAATTTGGTCAAGATCCGATGATGGGATCCATGAGGAAGTCATCAGACACTTCAATTTGTAAAGGCATCTGCACGAAATATGGGCGAATAATAATCTACCAAGTCAAACGATTTTGATGATTATACTCCTTGTAGTTTTTTCAAGTCGGTTTTTATTTTTTTAAAGTTTAATCTAAACATTGCTCCTTTATATTAAATATGAATGTTCGGACGTTCCGTTGTAATTATAGTCTAGTTCTAATATATTTTATGTAAAAGGAGAGTACCTACAAAGTCCCCGCCTCAACGGAGCGATTGTGACTGATTGCCCAGTCACATGCATGCAGTTCTTGTCCGATTGAGTTGAACGACAGTGTCTTTCGCGAAATAAAAATGATGTATGCGCCGAAATCATTTTAATATATAATTATAAAAATTTTTAGTCGCGGCCTACAATTAGTGACTGTAAATTAAATCTTATTTTTGTTCCTAAACCACGCAACGTATTGAGAACATAACTAAAATAGCCGGAAAATAGATGTATCCTTAGAGTATACATAAGCAACCTTTATTTAATTATTTATTACAAAAACAGTAACAGCATCATAACAATACAAAACCAATACGATGCTGTACAAAAACCAAACAAGAACTGATAAATGTAACTACTGACATAAAATATATACTTATACTATTATAATTAAGAAAAAAAATTATAAATAGAAAATCTCTAATAAATAGATAATCTCACAGACCCTGTGCGCCGCTTTTTTTTATAGGATAGGGTGACAAACGAGCACACAGTTCACCTGATAGTAAGTGGTTGCTGTGGCCCATAGACATCTATCTTCGTTTGCGAATCAAAATACAGATGCGTTGTCACCCGTGAGGGCTAAGCTGAAATGCCTCTTTTCCAGTAAAAAGGGTCTTCGGTGAAATTTGCTTCTGTGAACTTTGCCAGGCTGCAGTGGTAATGTCCGTTTCTGCGGAAATAATATTCAATAATTTTAAAACCCGTTATATTATGTATATTCTTAGGACATATGTTTATGTTTTTGTAAGGAAATATTATCCCTAAACGTATTTGAAAAGTTCCAGCATTTGTGATAACGAATTATCCTTAGATATATCTTTGCTTTCAATTTTGAACTTAATTCAAGGTAGTAAAATTAAATTTTACTATCTCATCTACTTTGCGGTTTTCCATTAAAAAAGCGTCCATTGTAAATGTTTTTGGCAGCTTTGCAGTCTTTATTTAAGTGGTTTCTATATCAATTCATACTTTACGCTATCGTAAGAATGTAACATTCCGAAATGTTCAATAAAGCACAAAACGCTGTCCTGAGATTGCATCTGTTTTTATTTTCAATCTACCAGCTTCTCTTAAACTATGTCGAGTCGTTACTGTATTTAATGTTCGTGTAGTACTCCTGTATCTCTCTGTATAACGCTACCTCACGAGATGTTCCTTTTACAAATTGACCCTACGGTTCTTATCTATATACATATAATCTATATACATATAATAAAACTGTAAATAGCAGATGTCTGTACATTTTATATTTTTGTAATAAAAGTGATTGAGGGGTACTAAAAATAAGTAATTAAATACATTTCTACCATTTTTAGAATTTTCTGTCTGTCTGTCTGTCTGTCTGTCTGTCTGTTTGTTTGTTAACGTATCACGTATAAAGTACTAATTTATATCATAAGAATTGTTAAGGAAATTATAAAGTGTATCTTCGGGTTACATTTAGTCTTTATTTCATTAAAATCAGTTCATTCCATCAAAAGTTATGATAAATATTCTGAAGTATGGGTAGGGAAGTATAGGTACGAATTTGCTCAACGGTGGCTTTGTTTGAGTCATCAAGTGCATTTTAAACTACTATCATATCATAAATCATAGTTAAATTATGTAAAATAATGATATAATTATGTATATCTAAAACGCAGTAAACAAAAGTATTAAAGAACGTATTAAATATATTATACAAAAATATATTAACCTTATTAACTAAATCTGAAGCACAATAGTTAACCCATTTCTTCGATAGATGGTGGTGTGGCATAAATGTGATACAAAAAGGCAGGTTAAAATTTATTCCTGTAGTTGAGTTTCATATTTGCTTCTAACCTTTATATTAATGACACACTGCCCTACTGCGTGTTGACAATCTCATTTATTTTTTATTTTTTTACCGCCGAGTACTCTATGTCGTAAATCAAATTTTAAGAGCTATTAACAATTTCATTTTTCGGCGAGGATCAAACTTTCTTTTTTGCTTACTATGCAGGCACTGATTTATAAGTTCTTTTATGTTTTTTATTGTATCAATCGTGTGAATTAATCTCTTATTTTTAGAATTGATGTTAACAGCGCCATCTCTCTTAAATCTATACATATAATAAAAATGGTAATAACATGTTATGTCTGTTTCTGAATATTGTATAGTATATTAATTTGCGACTAAAATCATTATTGGGACTGTAAATCATTAAATAAGTACATTTTTATAATTTTTAGAATTGTACTATCTGACGGTCTGTCTGTTTGTTTATGGACGCATGACGTTTTGAGTAAACATCTTTTTTTTTTTTTCAATGAAATCCTTAAGAAAATCATAAAGCGTATTATCAAGTTCATTTAATCTTTGTTTTATTGAAATTGGTTAATTCCATCGAAAGTCATGATTATTATTTTGAAATGTAGGTTCGAATTTGTTTAATGGCGCCACAAAATCCCAAAAATAGTAATAAAAAGATTCGTGTGTAAAAAAAACGTTCTATTATAATATATTTCGTATCGTTCTATTATAGTACTTAAAACACAGTAAAAATATGTTTTCCTTAAATTAAAAAAGGATGTTTTCTCACAAAGAACGTAATAGATGGCGTTGTACAAATTACAACCTTTTCTGAATTGCGGTGTTAAGATTTTTCGCAGGTGAATCGTATTGAGACTCACTGTAATAATTTATGTCCATGAGCCTGACAAAGCTGCAAGCCTGTAAGGTATATATACAGAGGTATTGAAATATTTAATTATTCAACAAAACTCGACTAAAACTAAAAGTAGCAAAATTGCAATAAATGTCGTGATGGTGATATTGTTTTATAGCCAGAATCACTCTAATACCAAATAACTTTTTTTTCAGTTTTAAGTAAAGTTGCAGCCTATTTACGTCCCACTGCTGGGCACAGGCCTCCTCTCATTTCTGAGAGGGTTTTAGGGCAAGGAAATGTCCACCGCGCTGCCCCAATACGTGTTGGCGAACTTCACATGTCATCGAAATATTATTTTTTATTTCTCAAACATGCAGGTTTCCTCACGATTTTTTCCTTCACCGCCGAGCACGTGGTAAATCAGCACTTAAAATTGCAATTGACAATTTCATTGGTGCCGGCGGGGATCGAACCCGGGTTGCTCGAGTACTGTGAAGCTTACAGCGAGCGCTAACCATCTGAGCTACCACGGCTCATGCTTCAGTTTTAAGATAGGGATAATAACATCGATGTTGGCATCGCTAGCTCAACATCGATGTTCGATGTTTAAGCCACTCAAAACATCGATGTTGACCATTATCGATGGTTTTTGTATATGTGTAGATAGTTACACATTGTTTTAAAATTATGTGGGTATAGACAGCAAGGGCAAAGTAACAATTAACTTGAATATCAATTTACGTAGAATAGTTATTATGCGACAACCGACAACGACACTACAAAATAAAGCGAAAGCAGTGACCATTGTGACATTACAGGAGACACTTGACAATTAAGTTTGACTCACCATACTGACATTTTTTTAGATTAACGATGCGTTCAGAAATTCTGAATTATTCAAAATTTTTAATCTTCAGAGCAGATGCAAGATTTAGTTGATATTGATTTCGCGAGTTCGCATTGTTTGCAAGTTCCCAATTATCGATTATGGGTTCATTGACGTCGATGTTTCGATGTTTGACATATGTCAACATCGATGTTAAAACATCGAAGTTTTAATTTTTAACATCGATGATCATCTAACATCCCTATTTTAAGTGTGTTTCCCACTCAGCGTGTGTTATGCGACGATCGTAAATAAAGCGCAAGGTCAAACTTTACGCGTCAGTACTGATTGTTTTGCACATGGCCAGCTCTATATTGCTTTTTCCCGCGTTAGTAGTCCCCGTAACCTTTTTCTGTACGCCCCGGCTAAGTCTACTTCTATCGTCGTTTACACAGAAGCTCTATCATAAACGACTTAGAACTTTGAGAATATCGATTTATTTTGTTACCACTTATTCATAGAGTAATGATATAAATCGGTTAATATTCTCTTACCCTAAACGTCAAATTCTTTAAGTAAAACCTATATTCGCGAGCTACGCCGCGGGCACAGCTAGTTTAAAATAAAAAATGTAATTACATATTTAAAAAATAGTTCCAGGTATTCAGGCTAAACAGTACCCCTGGTTGGTGCTCCTTCAGTATGAAAATGGTTCCATCCTCTGTGGCGGCAGCCTCATCTCGCGCAGATACGTCTTGACGGCCGGACACTGCGTAGAAACTTTGAACGGGCCACCGTAAGTTCTCTTAATAATCTGAGGAGGTGCTCTCACAAGTGTTATTCAATTACGCATTCTTTAATTTGAATGAGGCAAACATCATAGTCCATGTCCCAAAATAGACCATATCCTAAATTATCGCTTTCACCATGCATTTTAAAGTCGTTTTTGTTTTAAACGGGCGGAGCCGAAGGCAGGAGCATATTTTTTTCATAAAATTAGGGTGTCAAACGAGCACACAGGCCACCTTATGGTAAATGGATGCTTTGGCCCATAGACATCCACATCTATCCTCAATCATCATCATGTATCATCAAAATGTAGATGCGTTGTCACGCATGAGGAGTAAGATGCAATACCTCGTTTTCAATAAAAAGGGTATCCGGTTCTCTACACTGACCATACGAAACACAGCAGTGTTAAGCAGTTATTTTACGCTGGTATTCTATGAGAGCGTGGTCCTACCCCGGTAGAGCTGACTCATTTGTGCTACAACCAAATATAGAGGCTGCACCGTGGCTCTACCATGTCTAAATTGTATAATATGAAGTCACAAAATGTGTCACATAAAAAATATATTTTATTTCTAAGACTTTAACAGTAGTTTACACAAACATAACACATTGTTTGAACTTTATTGAGCTCTTGTTAGCAGTCATTTAGAGTACGCCTCTCACGTGTGGAACCCAAATTATAACATTTATATAAATAGGATTGAGCAAGTACAAAAGCGTTTTCTACGTTTTCTGCAATTTAAGACACAATTTTTTACACTGCTGACTACATTTCAGGGTGTAAAATATTTCATAGTTTGCCTCTGTACTACCGTACGCGCATAGCAGATATGATTTATCTTTTTAAATTGACAAATAGTAATATTGACTGTCCGGAACTACTGCGTAAGTAATGCTTTACAACAAGAGCTACCCTATTAATAAAGCCTCGCTTACTCCATGTGCCGCATACCCGGACTAAATACCGGCAAAATTCTTTTATGATACGTCCATGCAGAACTTTTAATGATATTTCCAAGAGCGTTGACTTGGATCTTTTCAATACCAGTGTTTCTCGAATCAAAAATATTTCAGCGAAAAAAATTTTTGTTGAGTGTTCTTCTGTTTATTTTGTTAGTTTACTGTATTTGTCTTAATTGATATTTATCTTTTACCGACTAGAAATAATGTTTTTAAGTTCATAATGTCTATAAGTGAAAACTTTTAAATGAACTTCTACTTGTTATTCATTTATTTACCGTCAATGTTAGCTGTAAGTTTTCCAAAAATAATATAATTAAATTAAAATAAAATACTAAATCCTGGTACAAATTACAGGACCTTCACCCGTCTATCGGAATACAACACGACCACCTACACGGTGGACGTCGCACCGACGGAGAGCGGATACGAATACATCAAAAACATTATAATACCCATCGAGTGGAGTAAGAGGCATCCGGAATTTAACTGGAACACCTACCAGAACGACATCGGATTGGTGAAGCTGGCACATAATGTGCAATACTCAGGTACCTACGCATTACAACTACCCAAATTACAACTGAAATCCTATCGCATCGGACAGAAAAACACAAATTTAAAACTATTCACTATATTCTATTCACTCTTTGCCTTGACGACACCCAGGTTGTAACACACATCGGACGGAAAGACAAACGTCGGCAAATTATTCCACTCCTATTCTGTCAATCTTTGCTGCTATTTCACTTTCATTTACGTGGTAGAGCCATGCTGCAGCAATATTATTAGTATAGTTGTCTGTAATGGGTCGACCGGGGTAGAACCACGCTTATTAGATTTTTTTTATTGGAGCTGCCTGAAGGAGAAAGTTTATAAAAAACCAATTGATATAATCGACGAAGTAAGACTTCGCGTCACAGACGCAGGAAGGGTTATTTCAACCGAAAATTATCAGACTTTTAGAAAGGTAAAAAGATGTAGAGCCTGCATAAGGGCAGGAGGAGGTAAGTTCGAGCATTCTGTAAATGATTTTAAATAAAAAATAAAAATTGGATATAGCTTGTTTCATTTTCATTAAGTTACGCATCCTTAACAAATGGAAAACAGTACAAAACATATTTTCACAGTTGTACATAATAGAACATGTCAAGTTTCACTGTTTGTCTCGCTCACACAAGTTAGAATTTGTCCAAACAAGGCGAGCAGGTAGTAAAGTAAAATTTTCAAAGGCGACAGATGTACTTACCTAATAAATACATGCAATGTTAAAAAAACTATCTGCAAATAATTTTGTAATGAGATGCCTACTTCTACACATTAACGGCTGTTGCTCAGTAAGTAATGATATTAAGTACATGGTATGTTACTGTTTTAGAATCCTCATGATGTAGGCAAACTTTTTAAATGGTTGGCCACACAGACCCCATACGTTTTTTTTTCACCACAGGTTCTCAAACTTAGCAGTTAAATAAGGCAAAAAAAACTTATGTTTAGTGCCGTCTTGTTAAATATCACCCATAGTAGTTGAAAACTTTTAAGGGTAATTTAGAAACATCATTATTAGGGAACACATTAAAAGGAAAAAAATCCGATCTAGGCATTAAACTGCGGACGTGATGTCCACAAATGTGAGCAGAAGTACGAATTTTCGTAATTTTATACTATATATTTATATATTTTTCGGGATAGAATTTTTTTAGGGAACGTAGGTCACCCCAGTGACCAGTTTTGTTTTTATTTAGTACTAATCCTTATTCAGATAAATATGTTAGTAACTTTCGGTATTAAATGTAGATTATAATTGTCTTTTACACTATATCATTCTAATGAATACTTTAGAAGTTTCAAAGATTAAATAAGAGATTATATAAAAGTTACTGGCAGCCGCAGCTAGACTTTGATAAAAAATATATCTAATATTCAAAATTTTCTTGCTAAGCAAACGTCTTCTTTTCAATTGCATTGCACCTGTCTCTAGTAGGTAATATAACCAAGGCAGAGACTGGTAGCATCAAAGCTACGAATCATCTCTAAAAATTTATTAAATTTCTAATTACGAATTACTTTTACAGATTACATACGACCAATATGCCTTCCAAGGACTGACTACTTACAACAAATCAGCGCCGGAACACATCTCTTATCAGCGGGCTGGGGGAGCAATGATGTCAACTACAATGACGTGAAGAAAGACGCTGTATTGCCTTATGTACCGATGAAGATATGCAGGCATTCTCTATCCACAATGACGCTCACCAACAAACAAATATGTGCCGGAGGTGAACCGAGTCAACAAACATGTGTTGGTGATTACGGAGGACCATTGATGTTTCAAACTGATGATTACTATATAGCCGTTGGTGTTCTCAGTTACCGTTTAGGAGGATGTGGTGTAGAGAATTTGCCTGGTGTGTACACCAACGTTTACGAGTATTTGGACTGGATCAACAGTATGATGGAATAAAGAGAGATCCGATTTTAATGAATACCATCATAATAAACTGGATTGAACTAGGAAGATCGAACTGTCTTATAAAAAATGTAGACCATTGCGTCGGGCACTGCAGTCTTGACGAATCAAATTTACGACATTGGCACTTATCATATTATGCTTTTAATGAGCAATTCTTGTATATATAATATACGTGTATTGTAGATTTTCTACGTGGTAGAGCCATGCTGCGGCTATAATATGGTTGTAGCACGAATAGGTCGGCTTGACCGGGGAAGGACCACGCTCTCACAGAAAACCAGCGTAAAATAGCAGCTTAACGCTGCTGTGTTTCGTATGGTGAGTGTAGAGAACCGGAGACCCTTTTTACTGGCAAAGAGGCATTCCATCTTAGTCCTCACGGGTGACAACGCATCTGCATCTTGAGTCTTTATTGAGCATAGATGTAGATGTCTATGGGTCACAGTAACCACTTACCATCAGGTGGACTGTGTGCTCGTTTGTCACCCGATCCTATAAAAAAAAATGTGTATTTCCCAGAAACGGCTCTAAAGATTTTGGACGAAATGGATTTGTATTTAGATAATATTTCACTTTTATCTAGATAGGTTTCATCCAAAGCAAAGCTTTGTCGCCTACGTGCTTATGTATAATATAACATATATTTGTATAGGTATATAAAATAAAGTAAAACAGCACAGGGCCTAACCATTTGCTCGTGGCACTGCGGGCCACGGGTTTAAATACTGCACGGGAAGTGTTTGTATGGCTACGTAGTACTATTATTTATTCTGTGGTATGGCATGCAAATAATTCTTCCTTCTTCAACCCTTCTCAAATATAAAACTCGTTTACTTTTACCGTGTAGTGGCGGTGTAAGAATATCCGCTACCCCATATGGTTCGTGGGTGTCGTAAAAGGCCACAGAGGGAATCAAATCGTGAGAAGGGCAGCAGCGTCTTCCTAATAACGTATAAAAATAAAAAAAAACTACGCTTGCAAACCCCTTGCCAAGCGTGGTAACTATTGCATACCCCCACTATGGGGCAATCAATGGGGGAGACCTGTGCTCAGTAGTGGATTAAAGTAGATTGTAATGGTAACGGTAACAATACGCCGTCACGATACGAGAGAAAACTTTATATTTAGACGTTTTTTTTTTTATATAAAGGGAAAAAGTAAAGTTAAGAAAACCACGCTGTGTATTATTTCTGCGGCCTAGAGTAAAGTGATTAATAACATCAACGACCTTAATAGGGGTTAAAGTCTGGTTGCTCGCTCGCTTAGTGTTGTGAAATTAAAAGAAAGTAACAGAGTGCTCTGCTTTTTGATTTTGAGTCTTCGAAGTCAACAAAATTTTGTAAACACGGTCTTGAATGTATTATCGGTGACTGTACAGTACAGTACAGTAGCGCATAAACTAGTACATACAAGTGTTTATCTAAGTCGCAAAAATGAAGCTGGAGTTCCACCAAGTGACAACGATCGCAAGTATACCTAAATTATAATAAATTTTAAATGCACACCAAGTTTGGCAGGTTGTAATGGTACCAAATAATAACAATTTAAATGATGTTTATGCAAATAAATCATTATAATATGCAATACCGTGTAGTGACGGTGTAAGAATATCCACTACTAAGCGGCGACAGAGGGAAACAAATCAGGATATGGGCAGCAGCGTCTTCCCAACAATGACGAAAACTTGTTTGAATTTTTTTAATATAAAACGGCAATTTCATATTTTAACCTCATTAGATTTTTAAAGAGATTGACTAGTCGCTCTCAGAGTATAATATAACACAGGTTTATTAAAAAAATATTTTAGGAGTGTATAAAAATAATTTAATCATAATACACGTTAATTTAATTTTTAATTCTATTTTATATTGACTTGACTTATATATAATTTTTTAGTTAAATATTAAGACAATAGCGAGTCGACAAGTAGATACAGATGTCTCAGGACGGCGCTATATGGTCTATGTTGAGCAGTAGACTTGAAGACTTAGATTGATGACGAAAATGACTGATTTTGGGCTTTTTATTGAATAACTAACGGTCCGCCCTGCCTTAGCACCGGTGATTTCTGGATCAGCTCTAGGGGTCCAATTATGAATCTAAACCATCAAGGGTTCCACTCAAACACACACACAAAAAAAATCATCAGAATGGGTCGACCCAGTTTCGAGTTTCAGCGAGACTAACAGACAGCAATTGTTTTTTTATATATAGAAATATTAACTATTCTTAACATTAAAATTTATTATTAGCGTTAAACATAGCAATAAATCGTAAAAACGTAGGTTAAGCCTACCAATGAAGCGTAATAAAGTGCTAAGACTTGGAGCTAGTGGCTGAAAACGATATTCGATTTAAATGTATACAATAAAATTTTAAAATCTGTGTACGATCATTAGGCATTATTTGGCGCTCGCTTCATCATAATATACATATTATGGAATAACAACAATATTTCATAGCAACGTTGAGTAGTAAGATTTGCTATAACAAATTTTCCAGGCGCTTGAGCGATATTCATTTTAAAAGATATAAAGAACAAACTCATTAGTCGTTAATCATTTTTATCGTATATTACATATAGTATGTAACCTGCGTGTTTTATTTGAAAAGTCAATACAGAGCTTAACACTACGCTTAGTAAAATGCTTAGAGTAATTAAATTACGCTAGTAATTACTATGAGGTAGAATGTAATTAAAACATGTAGGTACATTTTATAATAGGCTATGCCAACATAACTGCTATTTTGTATTTAATTTTAACACTCAAGAATCATTTTATTATTAATACGTGAACATCGAAAATTGAAGTAACTTTTTTTTAAATATTTATAATAAAATAGCGTTCCGCCCCGATTTCGCACGGTTGATTTCTGGATCTCGACAACAACTCCACCTACCGAGTCCAATTGGGAATCCAGACCATTCTCTAATCAACTTAATCACACACAAAATTCCATCAAAATCGGTCCAGCCGTTTAGGAGGAGTTCAGTCACATACACACGGACGGAAGAATTGTATAATATATACTATGCATTTATTATACATATATACACCTTCCTCTTGAATCATTTTGTCTATTTATGAAAACCGTATCAAAATCCGTTGCGTAGTTTTAAAGATCTAAGCGTACATAGGTACTGCGGGAAGCGTCTGTACGTTTAGATCTAGTTTTTTTTAGGGTTCCGTACCTCAAAACTAAAAAAAACTTGTATATCTACGGATTTGTTCGGAACCCTCGATGCGCGAGTCCGACTCTTGGCCGGTTTTTTATATTATTAATACGTGAACATCAAAAAATTAGGAAACTTTTTATTTTTTATTTATAATAAATGCAGACAAATAAAATTTATATAATTGGAAAGGTACTGTGCAATAGACGTGCATAAAAAAGAAAAACATATGTATCAGTTGCAACTAAAAATAAAGTAAACATACTCGTAGAGGCATGATTTTTCCGAAACGCTTTAATCAATTCAATGAAAGCAATTTGTTTACGTTCTTAGATGTATGATGTAAAAACCCTGTGCATTCTCTGCAAATATTAAGCATTGTTTAAACATATCTGGTTTTGACTCTCGTTCTCGAACAGCCACGGGATTATATAGCGTAGTGGATATTCTTACCCCGCCACTACACGGTATTGCATATTATAATGATTTCTTTGCATAGACATCATCGTACTCGTGCTAATAAATAAGTAAAAGCTACGTAAAATAGTTGCGTAGAAGGTAGAAATGCGAACGGACTGTTATATCCCTTTTTACAACGCAGTTAAATTTTAGTAAGCATTTATTTAATCCACGATACTTTTCCTTGACGTCAGTCAGTAAATGGATTGTTTTTTTCTATGTTAATTTTAATTCCATTTTAATAGGCAGCTAGATTCAGAGCCCCGAGGAGATCGGACATGATTCCGAGACGCATTAGAGTTCGGGAATCAGGGACAATATTAATTTTAATAAACCTTTATGTTTATTTAGTAGTTTTTTTTTAAAGTCAAACAGGATCGGCCTCCTAAGAGGGCGTACGAACGAGGTAATTCTATAAACAAGTTCTTATCCTCAAATCAATACTTGACACAGTTTACCATATTATAAGAGAGAAATTGTAGGCGGCACACAGAGTACAAGAGAGCTACTAATGGATGTAGGTCCTTTCCATTGTTGTGAAGATTTGTCTTACTCACCATGCTTGGCAGGCGGGCTGACGATTGCCATACCACACGTAAGAAACAAAATCAGAAACATAACCTTTTTATTCAATATAGATTATAAATAATACTTATTGAAAGTCACTCTTGTTTAATTACCACTGGTTCGAAAAAAAACCTCTGTCCTGGGAAGAACCAGCAAGAAACCCAGCGGGACTTTTTTAAATAACAGCTTACAATCATGTATGTTACACAAATTAACAACACAACAAATTAGAAATAGCTTGGTTGCGATCACCTCATTTCCAGTTCCAGGGGTTATAATCATCCATAAATTCTTTATTATTATAATAACCCTTTTCATACTAATAAAAATAAATAAGCACAGTGACACTGCTACCCTATGCCAGTCTTGGTGGTTTATGATTGGCGTAAATGAGGTGGTTATACTGACATCTATGGGAAGGCGTTTCCCGTAGTCGCCTGAACCAACACCTACGGGGCAAAACGAGGCGATGGATTCTCTTAAGCCGCTTACAAACGACCAAATCCAAATCTAATTCTATATCTATACACACACAAATAAAATTGGATTTTCTGTTTGTTATATTGAAATAACTGGCTTCTATTAAACTCAGGGGATTATTTGTTATTTTTTTATAGGATAGGGTGACATACGAGGACACAGTCCACCTGATGGTAAGTGCAACAAAATGCAGATGTGTTGTCGCCTCTGATGACTAAGATGGAATGCCTCGTTTCCAGTAAAAAGGGTCTCCGGTTCTCTACACTCACCATACGAAACACAGCAACGTTAAGCTGTTATCATTACGCTGGTATTCTGTGCGAGCGTGGTCCTTCCCCGAACGAGCCGGGGAACCCATTCGTGCTACGACCATAATACAGTTGCAGCGTAGGCCTAACACGTAAAAATGTTATGCTATTAAAACATAAATTACCATTTTTAAAATTATTGTTCGTCTGTCTGTGTGTCCGGGCTAATCTTAGATATGGCTAACACGATTGTGATAAAAAAACTTTACGAACAGATACACAGTAATTCCTGGAGGGTTAAATACTTATATTTTATACGAAAATCTTGAATAAAAATTAAAAAAAAAACGAAAAATTAATAAAAGAAATGGTCTTTGATTATCTTAAATCTAAATAACGCCATATTAATATATTCTTCCTATCCATGCAAAGCCGGCGCGGGTGGCTAATTCACTATAAACTGTCAAATGATAAAACAAGTATAATCAGACCAATAACATTAATTCGTTTAAGTGTTTTTGTTGCAACTACCTGATAAGTTTATCAAAAAGGGCTTACCTCTCGCATTTGTAGCAGCGTCAGCAATTTTCTGGAAAGCGTCCAGGAATGCCGCTATGGCCACCAACGCTGACCTGTCGACAAATTAAATGTGTCAAACATTACGAACTATTTCTTTGTTTCCCTTCATAAAATATACTTTATTTGTATCTACTGCTAGATATAAGCATTTTCAATATGGAGACAAACGATGTTTTTTTTATAGTAGGGGGCAAACGAACATGCGGCTCACCTGATGGTAAGTGACTACCGCCGCCCATGAACAACTGCAACACCAGAGGAACCAGGGGAATCGCAGATGCGTTGCCGGCCTTTTAAAAAGGAGTAGGTTCTTTTCTTGATTTCTTACAAGGCTAGCACACGCTGAGTGATAAAATTTCGAAAGTTTTTTTTTTTTAATTTAATAGTAGCTGGTACCCGGCGCATTGCTGCCTCAGAAGAAATAATTGTGTAAATATCGTTTTAAATTTGAATGAGTTATATTGTTTTAATAGGAACGATAATACAATAATTGAAATTGAATGAGAAACTTACAAATAAAATGTCGATACGATACGCGCGCCACATAGTGTAAGTTAATTGTATTATGCCTCTAACCTAACCTAACCTTTTTTTTTCGGGGGGAAATCCTCATGGACTACCTCCGCCTGGGGAAAGGCGGAGGGGCGTGCCGGACTCTTACCGGCTAAAACCAACCCGGTGTCTCTTCGCACGTGCGCGTGGGGCTGCGGGAATCCAAATTCTTCCGTAGCCCCACACTAGTGCTGGCCCGGTCTGTACGGGCCTCGTCTCCTGCACGGGGTAGTGAGGTGTTCAACTACCCCGTGTATCGCCTCAGGGGCGCGCGTCGATGCCCGCGCGCGCCTCCGCCTCGGGTCCATCGAATAGGGGTGGCGGGGGCTTCCCCAAGTCCCTCGCCCCTGGACCCATTCATGGAGGCCGGAAAAGGGCGTTGTCCGACCTTCCCCTGCGCCCGGTGCGCCTTCTGCGGCCAGGGAAGGGAGTCGAGATCTCCCTTTCCCGTTCCGCATTTTCCTTCTGCGACATCACGTCCTCGCAGAAGGACACCACTGCGTCCCACGACTCTGCGCTACCGACTATCTTCCGCACTAAGGCCTGCAGCGACAGATCGCCTCCTACTTTATTTGTGAGGACACGGCGCTGCTCCTCCCAAGAAGCTATACACTCGGCGAGCGTGTGTTGCACCGTGTCCTCCCCGCAATGGACGCAGTGGTGGCACCGAGCGTCCGGCTCCCTGTCTATGCGGCACAAGTACTTGCCGAAGCAGCCATGCCCCGACAACACTTGCGTCACCCTAAACGACAGGGAGCCGTGCCTTCTCCCGAGCCAGTCGTCGAGTACTAACCGGATCGCCTCGACGGTAGCGAGGCCGGCGGTAGGGCTTGCGCAAGTGCAAGCAATAAGTTGACAAAGTTTTACCGCAATCTGAAGAACGGTATGGCAGCGCATAAAATACGAACAAACAAACTTTAATCTTCATACATTTATTAGATTACTTTATAATGAGTCTAATTAAGACCTTATGGCTTTGTATATCATGCAATGCAATGCCACTACAATATGCAACTCGTTTCCAGTAAAAAGGGTATCCGGTTCTATAGACGCACCTTACGAAACACATCAGAACTATATATAAGCTGCTACTTCACGCTGGTATTCTAAGAACGTGGTCCTTCCCCGGACGAGCCGACGCATTATTGTCACAACCATAATATAGCTACAGCATTGCTCTACCACGTAAATAATCTTAATGAATTCTGCACACAGGCACATTATAAAATGTATGTATAAATTATTTTACTAACTAATATAATTATGGACACAGTGGTGATAACGCATCTGTAACCTTCCTTGTTAAAACTGGTGGCATTTGCATGTGTGTAGGGCCAACTTAACATCATTTTTTTATAGGATAAGAGTGACAAACAAGCACATAGCCCACCTGTTGTTAAGTGTATGCTGTGATCTATAGACATCTACAACTACCCTCGATTAATAGTCAAAATGCAGAAGCGTTGTAATCTTCGTGGACTAAGATGGAATGCCTCATTTTCAGTAAAAAGGGTCTCTACACTCACCATACGAAACACGGTAGTATTAAGCTGATATTTTACGCTGGTATTCTATGAGAGCGTGGTCCGACCTCAGTCGAGCCGACCCATTGGTGCTACAACCATAACATAGCTGCAGCGTTACTCTACCACGTAAATCATGTGTGTCTCTAATATTATAAAAACAACAGTTAAGGTGGCACAAGTCGCGGGCTCGAACTCGCTGGTGGGCGCGGCCAAAAAGCACGCTGTCTCACCTGGCATCGTGCCCGACAGAGATAGTATCAGTGATGAGCATATCGACACTAGTATTCACGCACGTCTTGTTCGTACGGCATTCAGAACCGTTTGAACAAAAACGAAGTTACACGAACACGATGCAACATTTATACTAATATAATAAAGCAGAAAATATAGATCTTTACTCCGTCTAAAAAAAAGTCCGCGATACCATATGTCTATTTTTTATATACTCGTATAAGCCACAATTAGGCATTTTTATTTTGACAAAAAAAAAATGAAAATTTAATTATTAGGCATGGCATATTTATCCTTACGAACGAAAGTTACTTCATTATCAAGACAATTTTTTGAAGATAAACTTCGTTGTTTATGCCATGTTTATATAGTACATAGTTGAGATAATGTAAAATTAAAATAATTCAATACTTGGCCTTGACGCGCAAACAACGCATAACCCCTAGCCCGGTGCGAACTGAGAAGCCAGTATTGAAAGCTTCTATGAGCGAGGTTAGGTTAGCCGTTAGTTCAATCATTATCTATATCTACACAAATAAATAAAATTGAAGTGTCTGTTATAATGTCAAAATAACAGCTTTTTACTAATTGCATATGAAATTATATACGCTACTTATAACACAATTTTTAACATTTTTCTGTCTGTCTGTCTGTTTGTTCCGGTTAATTTCCAAAACGGCTGGACCGATTTTGACGGGACTTTCACTAGTAGATAGCTCATGTTATAAGTAGTAACTTAGAATGCTTAAATTTTAGAAAAATTATTAGGCGTCCGTGCAACAAAATTAACACCCTAAACTAAATGCGGACGAAGTCGCGGGGAACAGCTGGTAGCTAAAATAAATTCAAAATTAATTGAGTGCTTTTATCTATCTCCCAGGTGAGCGTAACAATGATTAGTTAATTCTGAACTCTTTCATTTCACGTTGCTATGGTATTTTGAAAGTTTAATTGATTAATAAGTTTTTATTTTATTTATTTCTTTAAAAAAAAAGACGTTACCCCCACACTAGGATTTTCTCGTGTATCGTGGAGGCAGTTTACAAACACAAATTGCACAAGGACAAACATCCAGACCCGGAACAATTATTTGTAGGCCATACAAATACAAATACTTGATCCGTGCGGGATTCGAACCCGCGGCCCCCTGCTCAGCAACTCATTGCTAAGACACTGCGCCACGGAGCCGTATAAGAGTATAAGAGGTTGATAGCAAATGTATCAAGAATCATTTCTTGCCTACACACTTTTCATGTATCGTGTACGTTTTTCTTTAAAACTGAATAAAACCGCGCATAGTATGCCGACAGATAAAATAAAAGTACTTCATTAATTATGACAATTTTTCCATACATTATTATCAAATAAAATATTTGATTGCAATTATAAAACTAGGTGTCATGTCATGCCATGCATCTCGGACACATGATGACGCGGGTGAAACCGCGAAATGATTAGGCGCTGCTTTATCGCTTCATATTATACCTCTGTGGCTCTATATACCTAATATAGATTGCTTATTTTATTATGTTTAGTTTTTCCGAGTGGTTATGCAGCGATCACTCAAGAGTTCGGCTTCGAACGTGTGTAACTGCAAAAATTATCCCACGGGAACGAAATATTTTATATTACTGGGAGCCGCGGGTTCGAATCCCGCACGGAACAAGTATTTGTATGGCCTACAAATAATTCTTCCGGGTCTGGATGTTTGTCCTTGTGCAATTTATGTTTGTAAACTGCCTCCACGATACAGGAGAAACTCCTAGTGTGGGTGTAACGTTTTTTAAATAAGAAAAAAAAAATTTGTATGGCCTACAAATAGTTGTTCCGGGTCTGGATGTTTGTAAACTGCTTCCACTATACAGGAGAAAATGCTAGTGCGGGGGTAATGTATTTTTAAAAAATAAAAAAAAAATAAAATTCCAGACTATAACCTATCTCTGAGCAAAATATCATCCAGGTCCCTTCAGCGGTTCTGGCGTGATTGAATAACATACATCCTTTCATTCGTCCATCCAAATATCCAAACTTTCGCATTTATAATATTTAGATAATAATTGTAATTAGTTCTGCTTACCTATAAATTTTTTTCAAAAATACTTACCTGTCTTCTTACTTTTTTTTATATATACTCAATATCACTAAACGTAAACACAGGTTTTTATCAAGACAAGTGACCCATCAAGATTGTTTTCTTAGTACTGACGTACCTACCTAAAGTTTACAATTTTGTGGCCACGACGCGGTGACGTTTTGTGACATTTTGTTGTATTGTAGGTTGTAGGTATCTAGGTAATAACAGTAGGTACCTATGAAAATCCCACATAATATACCTTGTTTGTCCGCCGCAAGAGTCGTCTAATAAATAATTAAACTGTTTTGTAATTCTTTATTTATTTATAACACTTGCATTGAGAGCCGTGGTAGCTCAGATGGTTATCGTTCGCCGTAAGTATCACACTACGCGAGCAACCCGGGTTCGATCCCCGTCGGCACCAATGAAATTGTTGCAATTTTATATAGTAATCGTATATTATAGACTTAATTTTTTTTCTTTTATAATTATATTATATTACAGACGAAAATTTTACAAAATTGTCTGTCGTCCAAAACGCATCATCTCTTTCAATTATATCAATTTCCATGCTGTCTTTTGTCTTTGGCGTCCAAATTACAAAATAGCAAAACTTTTCGTTTCGAATAAAACTCGAATAAGCCCGCGTCACCGCCCGTGCATGTGTGTGTAAGCGTCGTCCTCCCGCACCGCACCGGGGCAAACATTATTCAGTGAGATGCACGATAATTCATAGTAACATACGCGCGTAAAAAAATACGAAAAGGCCTTTGGAAGAAGGGGTTTTATGAAAAAACCACTGCATAAATTAATTACGAATAAAATTTCTTGAATTCTTCGATAATTGAGCTGTGTCGGTACCGACTTTGTTTTGGAAATTTCACACTTCTTTTATTACTAATTTACGCCCAAAGTTGTGTTAAAATTGGCAATAAAAACGAATCTTTGGTAGCTCGTAACTTTTTAAAAACTTTTTATTTTACTATTCTGTTTCCGTACAGACAACTTTGATAATGAGACAAAACGATATCATGTTTAACTTTGGATGTACACTGTCAAACAGCGTAGTAAAACCCCTCCGAAATTTGTATGGAAATCAATGGAAATATTGTCGACTAGTGTCACCTTAAGACCAGCACATGACCTTCTATATGAAACGCGTCAATCGTTCAATTGTCGGTAAACGAACGCGATTATCGCATTCGGGACGTGACTGTTAAGGTGCATTCATATTGTGCGTTACATTGTACTCCTTTATGGTATTCACCGTCCGTTTGTGAGGCCTTTATCTATTAACGAGGTGGCATCTCGTGATCAGCATTAAGGTTAGATCTTCACTTGTTTTTGCAATAGTTGACAAAAGCAACGATAAGCGCAAATAAAGATTTTAAGATTAGCAATGAATGTTATAATTTATTTAAGATGTATTTGAAACACATATTATAATTACATTCTAGCTTTTTGCACTCCTTCCCTATAAACTTTAACTTTGACAAATCTCACTCCCTTCCGTGCGCGCAATGTACTTAAAGGGGTAAAATGATTTCCCCTACGTATTAATACATAGAAGAATATATCCCACGTGGACAAAACCTAAAGGCATCGTCCGTAATCGACCCGGAGTGTGATCACAATCTACTTGTTTTTATTCAGTATTTCACACAAAAAGGCAATTATTACTTCCATAGACCATTGTAGTCACAGTGTCTTTTGTACTCAAAGTATAGCGCAGTGTCCCTTTGTTTTCTTCAATTCTCATTTTTCATTATTTCCTTTTTGATTCGGCGTCGGCCTATTGGCGTTGCAATTTATCTAATCTTTACTTTTTTATTCATTTATTCATTAAGTTAGTTAATAGTTTCAATGCTTGGCAAGCGGGACGGCAACCACAGTTTTTTATTTTCTAGTTGTTGTTAGGAAGATGCAGCTGCCGAATTTCTGGTTTATTTTCCTCTGTCGACTCATAGAGACATCATCATCATCATCATCATTACAGCCCTTCACAAGTCCACTGCTGAACATAGGCCTCCCCCAAGGAATGTCACAAAACACAGTCCTGAGCCACCTGCATCCATAGACTTTCTGCATGTCTCACCAGGTCGTCGCTCCATCTAGTGAGGGGACGCCCTACACTTCGTATACCGATACGAGACCCTTTTTTGCTGCCATTCGAGACCCTTTTTTCCTCATCGGTTGTCGGTTCTTCGAGCTATATGTCCAGCCCATTGCCACTTCAGGTTACTAATACGTATGAGGTCGTTCTCTCATAGACACACACGGAACAAAATGGCGCATTATACAATCCTACGCTGCGATCTTATGACACAAACATCTGTCAAAGCGTCATATTGAGGTGGTAATCTGGCTACCGGGATATTTACGTAGTGTCTTAGAATACTCTGGTTACCACCACAAGGCAAGGCTGATTTTTACTACTTACGACGAAAAGACAACCTAATGATACATGCTGGTCATACCTCCAAGTCCGTATGGCATAATCGCGATTCTTGATCAACGAATTGAAGATAGCAGTACCGGCTTATCGCTAGCTATCTACCGTCTATGTATTTCACGTATGGCGAAAATAAGATAGGGCTATCTATCGGAAGCTATGACAGTTTACTGCTTATTCTAGTTGTCTCTTACGACTTTGGAGTGAGAATATACAAGCAGTGAGATGACAGTTACTTGAACAACTTTACTGCATGGTAAAATTTTCACTAGATATACATATATGATGGTGAAATTTATCACTAAAGGTGGTATCTGTAACTACTGGCATTTATAAGAAATATGAAACCTTGTTTATATACTGATGTGCCAGCGATGCATCATATGGTCTATTTATGATACATATTACATTTACGGTTAAGAAAAAATATTGATATATAGTAAAACAAATAATCGCGTTTATTAAATCTGGTTTTTGGATCTGGATTCGTAAAAAACGTATGTACTATATATGGCCGATGTTTATTTGGCTGATCTTGCTGATTGCTGAGCTACTGAACTTGGGTACTATAGAGGTTAAAAAAAATACTATGTACTACACTGTGTATATTCGGTCCAAGAATATTTTATGTAAAAATCTGTTAACTAGGACACTTCTTTTCGACCTACGAGTCCGTGTTAGAACTACCCTCTGTTACTTATTTATGCCGCCAAAACAGTGCTTGCACAGCTGTTGTTCGGGCATTCCATCTTAGTCCTCAGAGATAACAACGTACCTGTAGCCTGCTTTATTTGAGGTTGTTTGCAGGTATCCATGAGCTCATGTGGCATAAGGTGGACTGAGAGTTCGTCTCACACTTCAATTTAATAGTATACTAGCGATACGCCACGGCTTCGCAAGGGTGATTTTTGAATCTCGATAACAGCACCAAATGTAAATCTAAACCATCTAGGAACCCATTCAAACACACACAAAAAATTCTTCAAAATCGGTGAAGCCGTTTTTGAGTTTTAGCGAGACTAACGGACAGCAATTTTTTTATATGTAGAGATATCATTTGCATTTCATATAATATGTAAGTTACCAGAGGTATCAGTGCATTTTGATTCTAATAAGTGGCATTCATTTGGCATCAGATGGAGTGCTCGTTTGTCACCCTTACTTAATTATATAAAAAAAATTAGATTCGACATGTTTTACGGATTATAACAACATTTTTATCAGTCGTTATAATTTTAGGTATGACATAATAATATAATGTTTACTTACAAAAACTATAATCTTTTTGATAACATATTTCATCTTTAGATACATTAAAACACCCAAACGGACGTTAAGAAGATTTAAGCGGTGTTTGGGCCCTGAAAAAATGTGCGCTCCATTAGCCGTTATAAAAATAAACTTACTTTAAGGCCGAATGAAGTTTGGTTGCCTTCGATATGAACTCCTCCCACATTGGCGCGCTATTCTGTAACAATGAAAAATAAAATTTAAGTAACAAAACTTAATAACTTCCTCCAAACCGAGTCAAGTCTCAACGAAGACGAGCCATCTATGCAGAGCAGTATTATAATGAACGGGTGTTTGTACAGATGTACTCTTTATTAGCCAGAGTCAGTCTGGGCTATGTTCCGGCCTGAAAGATACCGAGAGCTTGAAATCATTCCAAACTAATCACTCAGGGCTGATAAAGCAACTTCCCAGCAGGAGGGTTGTACGTTCGTTTGTAACTTTATCCCATTATCATAGTTCTGATCAAACTACTGATAGACCAGGCGCAGGGCCAACGGCATTACAAAACACCGCCAACTTTCTAACTCCGGCCAGCTACTAAAAATTTCTTGACAAAAACCCAATAACTGATTTTCGTCTGACGGTACGCGACACATGATCAGCAGTCGCGCATACGACCACTAGATATACCGAGGCAGTCAACACTATCAGTTTCACAAGAATACGATAAATCCTACACGAATTCAATACCGTTTTTTTTTCGTCAACTAAGACTCGAGGGTAATCTCAAAACACTCATACATGCTTGTGTGAAACCACTAGTGCTGTAGCATAGGTTTCTGCCGCCCTTAGTAACTAGAGCTGAAATACGTCCCATTCATGTCATGAACGCAAGTATCTTAAAAAAATATAAAACCAGTGAATGTCTTCTATATAGTCTTTGTTATTTGAAAAGAATCGTCACCATCATCATTACAGCCCTTCACAAGTCCACTGCACAAAGGCATGTCAGAAAGCAAAACAATAATACGATGATAAGTGATAGAGCCAGGGATTGTGAATACCGGTACCAATTTCGGTTCTGGTTCTTCATTTAGGTTCTTATAAAGGTTCCTCTTTTTGGTACGGTTCCAGTTCCGGTATCGGTTCCGATGTACCGGTTCTAAATACCGGTTCCGAGAACCTATAATCAAATTTCTCCAAATCCGTAGATTGGTATAAAAAATTCCGTATCGTAGATGCTATTTCAAAATATCCGTTCCGTTGAGGATCGACAATATTTGTTTTTGAACTTAGTTGAAAAATTAATTCTTTCATGGAAAATTCTCGGTGTAAGTTTAATTGTAGTATAACATCGAATCAGGCTGCACTTGTAAGAAAAAAGTACCATAAAAAATTGATTAAAATTAATTGTTTTCTTTTAATTTTGTTTTCAGTTAACAGTGGTAGAGCCACGCGGCAGCTTTTACTGTCGCACGGATGGGCCGGCTCGAACCGGGGTGGTACCACGACCTTACAGAATACCAGCGTGAAGTAGAGGTTTACGCAACAACACGATTTATACAACGCAGAGGCGTTGCGCTTGTTGAGTGCAGGTGGCCGGAGGCCCAATTCCCCCCTACCCTCCCCCATCACCATGGTAGCGGAATTACATAAAAGACTACCCCAAGAGGGTACCAGTAACCCTGGTGAATCCCTCGCTGAGCATCCACGATCAAACTACACTCCTGACCGTGGGTGCTCCGGCTCCCCGCGTATTCGGGGGGAAGGGGGGGGGGGGCAAATTCCGCTCGCGACTACTACTGCTCGGAGCGGAACAATAAAACCAAGGCGACCCCTGTCACGCTATCCGTGAGTTTTTGCAACATCAGGGGACTTCATTCCAACTTTAACGCTGTCCATTACCATCTAGAGACGGCGAAGCTGGCCTTGCTCTTTTTAACCGAGACTCAGGTGTCCTCTCCAGCTGATACTTCATATTAGTGTTGCCCAAAATCGGTCTTGGTCTTGCAGTCTTGGTCTTGTTCTTGCATTTTTGCAAAACCAAGACCAAGAACAATACCGCCTCTTTTAGCAAGACCAAGACCAAGACTGACCGTGCAAGATTTGCGCAAGAACAAGACTAAGCTTGCGAGACTCTTGCGTCTTGCAGTTACGACTAAGTGTCGTTTCAGGGAGTATAGGAGTTCGGGTATACGCTTAGGGACTCTATGAAACGCAAAAAAATATAATGAAAAAAAAATTGGAAAATTGGACTTATGCGCATTACGAACAATACCATAAACATACATAGCGAATGAAAATATCCATTAAAAGAAAAAAGGGTGCATCCCTAGTTTTGACCATCGGCACTTTGATAGTGCGCGGCGTCTTGTTGTCGGCGTCATCAAAGGTCGGATACTGACCTGTCAAAGACATTGTGCAGCTATTCGAAAGTACAAGGTCAAGATACACGTGCCGGCGGCTACTATTGATATCGCATAATCGTCGCCGCTGCGCCACACGCACTACATTTGACACTGTTTGATTGCCGCCACAGAGTACACGTTTCAAAGAATAAAATAAGTTTCCGGGTGCTCAGAATGGACATGAATACATTATCCTGATCTCGTAAGAAATATTGTAATTAGATAATAGGTAGGTATCATAATAATTTATTCTAGTGAGTAATTATTATAAAATTAACTATATGGATTTATAATAATTACTTACTATTATTAAGTGGCTAAGCTTGCTGGACTTTTGCAAGTGTGCGTTTTTAAAACACAAAGTGCTCGAATATGTCGTCACACATTTGATAAATATGGTTGACACAATAGCACTTTTAAAACACTTGAAATGTGTAAAAATGGATCTGGATCTTGTCTTCAAATCTTAGTTATTAAGGAGTTGGAGGGTTACCTAGGTAAACCCAGAGCCGTCATCTCGGAAGACATTTTAGACTGTTGGAGCACATGAGTAAAGAAACCGACCAGAGGGGAAGCTACATACAAACGGCTCGCTGCGAGTACACCCATACATAGCGCAGCGATGTGTGCGTGAGCTCTCACCTACAGGTTCACCGACGCTCCGTCGGGGTACAAACCGGTTTGCGCCGGCTCAGTCAGAGTGTCCATGAAAGGGCTGTTAGTCGTGCGCATTTAAATAAATAGACCAAAAATATTTCGATATTTTATACATCAATTAATTTATTAAGTATTTTTGCAATTATTAAATAATTAGATTAAAGTTTTTTAATAAGAATAATTAAGAATTAAGTTATTATAAATTTATATAGGTAAATAATAAGTTTTCTGTATAAGCAAAAATGCCTAATAGTTGTACAGTATGCATGAATAATTCTAGAGAAAATAAGGATATTTCCTTTTTTTTTGTACCCGACAGATCAGGTGAAGTAAGTACCTTTTTACAATAATACTAGGTAATAACATTGATAGGTAAGTGAGAATGTGTTAGAAAGGTGCGTCGCCGAGTGATGATGTCGGTCTCACCTACTTGAAGCGTTAGTCAGTCTAACTTTAACAGTGCCGTAGATGGCAGAATATCCTACGTAATAAGGCTAAATGTGTGACTTTATCCACCCACATTAGTATAAAGGTAGGTTGCTTCCTGGGGTAGGATATAAGTTACTTTTTGCGAATCGGGACCGCAGGGGTAAATACCACTGCATTATGGTTGGAATACAATCGCCAGGGATTGGTGTTGGTGGATAGTGTTGGTGGTAGTGGTGCTGGTGTTGGTGTTGGAGGATAGTGTTGCTGATGGTGTCAGTGGTGGTGGAGGTGGTAGTATCGTGGGTAATGGTAGTAGGCAGTAGACCAACAGTGACTTCATCAACACCACCACCGTCACCACCATTACAATCACCACCACCGCCACTGCCCACGACCACCATCACAGCCACAACTACCACCACCACCACTTACACCAAAACTCTTGATTTAGAACAATTAATAAATATGTTCTTATACATTATATAAGTTATAATTAATACACATGATGTCTTATGCTATACAAAATTTTTATTTTTTTCTTAAAATTTTCACATGCTTCAGGTGACAACCCTATCAGAATCAGTATAGATTTTCGACGTTGTTAGGAAGCTTCCCCTCTGGTCCTCTTTACTCTGTGGTTGGAGGACGCATGAGACAAAATATCCGATTTTATCGAAGATGGTCCGTGATTTTCTTTTAATACCTGCAACTTCAGTACCTGCTGAGAGATTATTTTCTAAAGCATCATTAGTAATTAGAAAACATAGAAATAGGTTATGTGATGAATCAGCCAGATGGTTACTTTGTATTAATGCTTTGTCAAAAGAATAAATATAAAGTAACAGTAATGTCAAAGCTGTTGTGTACATACTGTGAAGTAATTTAATTTGCATCGTATTTTATTTTTTATTTAAATAAATTGTATATTGTATAACTCTTTTATTCCATTTCATATATGGTGAGGGTCCATCAATCTCTTTCTAGAGAGATAATGTTATTTAAAATACAGTGTAGTTATTGCCATTAATTTGTTTTTATATGTATGTTTAACCATGTTTTAGCACATGTAAGCTTATTGAATGTAAACGTTTATTAAGAAACTGACGCCCGTGGCCGTGGGACACGGTAGATAGCTCAGTTGGTTAGAGCATCGGCACGGATCGCTTAGGTCGTGGGTTCAAACCCCACCCGGTGTTAGTTGATTTATCGAATTTCTCATTAAATGTTTAGACATTTATTAATATGGTTAGTCTTTACTATGGCTATGTTAATTCAAGCTCAATATGTACCTACTCTGTCAAGTTGTTCTAAGATCTAAAGTAACGTTTAATAAATAGTAATAGGCTAATAGATCATTGCGAGACTTGCGAGACTCTTGCTGCAAGACCAAGACCAAGACCAGACCAAGACCAGATATATTGGCGCAAGACCAAGACCAAGACTTGCTAAGTCTCGTCTTGTTCTTGCATTTGGGCAACACTACTTCATATCTTTCCTATCCGGGGTACAAATTAGAACACTCCTTTGTGCCCTAGGCTGGAGTTTGCGTATACGTCAGAGAGGACATCTGTTTTCGACGCCTCGGCAGTCTTGAAGGTACAGACCTGTCCATCCTATGGCTGCCCGTAGACAGCGACAACCATCCCCGCGTCTACGGGTGCCTCTATAGGGTGGTAATGCCGACACAGACCGACTCATCAACCACGTCTAAATGGTTGCAAACTCCGTGCTACAACAGGTC